CTACAGTCAGTTTTATCACCCTTTTTGTGAACTGGTACAATAATAGACTCCTTCCACTGATCAGACAGTTTTTCCTTATGCCAAATAGAATTATTTAGATTGTGGATCTTAGAATGTAATATTTCACCTCCTGCTTGAATAAGTTCTGCCAGAATTTGATCACTACCTGGCGATTTATACCATTTCAAAACAGTCCAGAACCTTTTGTCTTCTCGTCTGCTGTCCAAAAACATAAAAATTAGAATATACAAAATTATAATTTTGCCTGTGGTTCTGTATGGATGTGAAACTTGGTCTCTGACATTAAGGGAGGAACATAGCCTGAGGGTGTTGGGGAACAGGGTGTTGAGGAAAATATTTGGACCGAAGAGAGATGAAGTGACAGGAGGTTGGAGAAAACTTCATAATGAGGAGCTTCATAACTTGTACTCTTCTCCAAGTATAACTAGAATGATCAAGTCAAGGAGGATGAGTTGGGCAGGGCATGTAGCACGAATGGGGCAGACAAATGCGTATAGGATATTGGTGGGAAAGCCAGAATGAAGAGACCACTGGGAAGACCAAGGCGTAGGTGGGTGGACAATATTAAAATGGATCTTAGAGAAATAGTATGGGATGGTATTGATTGGATTGATCTGGCTCAGGATAGGGACCAGTGGAGGGCTCTTGTGAACATGGTAATGAACCTTCAGGTTCCATAAAATGCTGGGAAATTCTTGAGTAGCTGCAGAATTGGCGGCTCCTCCAGAAGGGCTCAGCTCCATGAGTAAGTAAGTGAGTATGTATTCCCTAAGTCAGAGAATCGGCAGATTGTACATCAAAGTGTGTTGAATTTGGTGAGAATTACTGGGTTTTCAGACTTCGTCCATCATGCTGTATCCCAAAAACTAGAAAACACAACATTGTGGAAACTTGATCTGTTTCTGTCCTCAGGTAAGGGGGCGTGATTGAGGTTAGCTCTTTCTAAGGGACCCAACAGAGTACATGTTTCCCTCCTCACCTGTGGATGGAAACAGATCCAGTTTCTGAAATATTGTGTTTCCTAGTGTTTATTTCTGAGTGTTATACACCATCATCAGGTGCAGATAAATGGTGTGAATCAGAGAGGGTAATGCTGCATCCATATCCTTTCCTAATCACCGTTCATAATCATCCTATAATTTCTTATTTTATGTTACATAATACAAGCAGTTAAGACAGTGGCAGTAAATAAAGAAAGACGTTAGGAACAACCTTATTATGTAATCCATTGTTCCGTTTGGATATGAGAATGTTGCTTGTTTTGTATGAAGTGTTATGTAATGAAGTTTGGTCTCATGACATTGAAATTCTGTTTTTCTGTCATGAGAATCACCCAGGATGAAGCTTGAACCTCCATGTGACCTGTGCCTTATCACTAGATTCCACATGTACAAGGACCTAATGGATTCCAACCTCCTTTAAACTGGGTGACAGTTGTGGTTACAAAAGAATAACAAGCAGAATAATTTTCAGTTATCTCTAAATTAGCAGGACATTCCAGAAAGTGGAACTTGCCAGTGTAACAGTATATTCTATATGCTACTGAAGTTATGATGTAATAATGAATGAATTATATATAAGCCAATCAAACGTGAGGATGATTTTGTGTGGTGTATTAGTAAGTATGAGGAAGGAAGCAGCATGTATTTCAAGATATTATAACATGGTTAATTTTTTGTCATAAAACTGAGGAAGTCTGCCAGGTAGGCTACTTTCCTATCCAACATTTGACAAAGTATATATGTTGCACTGATTGCTGCTGAGTTCACTTGCTCAGTGACCTCCATCATATTATTAAATGGGATGTCTCAGAAGTAGAAAGTCGTCATTCTTCTTCTTCTTCACCATCATCATCATCATCTACTCTGGTGTAGCTTTAATATGACCTCAAGCGTTTTAGTAAGCGGTTCGTTTGAAAGCAGTATGTTTGAAACATTGTCAGAGCAAAATTTAAACCTGCAGATCACTTAGATTTTTTGCGGAAGGGGAAGGCAGTCAAAAAATGTGTGTAACAGATTTGTGTTTGAACCATATTAAGACTGTTTTTACTGATCACTCCAAAGTATGCAGGATAGAATGATAATTGTGTTTAAAAATAGTTTTAATTTATATTATTAATGTTTGGTAGATTACCTTCAATTTTTTTAACCCAGGGGGAAGAAGACATTTCTGGATTTTTTCCTTTGGTGTACCTTGAAAATCAGTTAAGCTGCAGGTACAGTCAGAAATAATATCACGTAGATTCCCTGTTTGTCAGTCTGTAGGTATGTTGTGTTTTGTCAACAGGTGTCATCTTATTATTAGTGGGTCAGTCATTATTGTTATTTAATAGTAAAATCACAATGCAGGTGCCAATCTTCAGGGCACGCGGTAGCGTAGTTGGTTTAGGCAACAGCTACAAGCCGGAAGGTTGCAGGTTCAAGTCCCGATGAGGTCATTGGATTTTTTTCAATTGACATAATCGTTCCGGCCTAACTGTGGCCCTGGGGTTGACTCAGCCTCTAGCAGAAATGATTACCAGGAATATTCTTGGAATATTCTTGGGGGTAAAGGGTGGCCGGCACATAGAGCTGAGAACCTTGCTGCCATCTATGAACTGATTGTCTAGAAAATATGGAAACCTCAACATCTCACAACCCTATGGGCCTCCACGGCCAACTACAGGGATACCTTTACTTCTTCTTCTTCTTCTTCTTTTTCTTTCTTTCTTTCTTTTTTTTTCCTATGTGGAAATCTTAGAGTGAGTTGATCAGTTATATTTTTGTGTCCTGGAACCTCACAGGAAGTGTTTCTGTGTCATACTCATTTCTAAACATGGTGGTTTTTTGATGATGACCGTGCATGCTTGATTTCCCAAATGTATTGATCAAGGGATTGGTTTGTGATCTACTCAACTGCACTATTTGTGTTTGACTCTTTTATTTAATCAAACAATTCACAACAAAGCATGTACAAATATTGAAACTAACCTGGTCTGCTTGTTGGTGGTGGCATTTCCTACACGAAAAATAATGATCATGCTACAGTTAGTGGGCCATCATGTGTAGATGTAGTTTCTAGTTTAATCGCTTCCTGTATCAGAAAAGAGGTATGAAATTGGGTTTGCAATTAACACTCCATATTCACATTGCCCCCATTTCAAATCTTGGCCAGATATTGGATGCCCTTGTGAAGTGGGGAGAGGGATGTTATTTAACAGTGTTTTCAGTACCTGGACTGTGTAGCATTGAATGGATGGATGATAGATGAGTGCTGAATTGGAAAGGATTTGGAAAGAAATAGTTCTGGCCTGATCAAGAGACTCTCCCAACATTTGCCTGGTGCAGCTGAGGAAATATACAAAAATCTCACTCTGGATAGCTGGTGTCCTGGCCAGAATTTGAAATTAACACCTCCGAGTACTAGTATATAGCCTTGCCACTGTGCTACCTTGTCAATTTTATGGTTCCTTTTGGCATATTCCAGGAAAGGAAATTTTAAAGGGGCCATTAGTGCTTCCTCTAATCACCTCTCCAATCCGTTGTACCTTATGTACCTTAACTATTTCTCTTTCAACACCATATATCAGGGATATGCAATCTTTTATGAGTGTAGGTGAAACTTATGGCAGACAACTGCAGTGTTCATTATTGACATAAATTAAGTTTAAGGTATTTATAATTAGTGTTATCATATGTAACATGCAGGATAATTTTAAATTACGCACCATTAATGAGATACGTGATGTGGCTTGTCTTTGATGAGGTGACCAATGCCCACTTTGATGTTAGAGGAAATAATTCACTCTGCAATGTTAATTCATAAGTGAGCACCTTATCTTGCTCACAAGTCTAGGAAGTTCAAGCAATGATGTAATTGAAATGGCATAAAGCTGAAGGTTGTTGGTCTGGAAGAATGTGTCAAATTCTGCTCTGTATGTCAGTAGCCTCCATTTGCAGTACAGTATATCAAGTACTGCATCAGCAGCCATTTCAGAGGGTGATGTGCAAATATGTGAAAAGATGTTTGATGTTTCTTTAACAGAATATGTAGTCTCTCAAAATCCCAGTTTCAGTTGCTGTTTTGCTGCATTGAAAGATACAGATTTAGCCCTCTGATTTATAATTCGGAAGTGTATTTACTTTGGTTTTCTAGCTGAGTGTAGCTGTACTTCAGAAGCTTTAATCTAGACTAACATATTGTTTAATAATATATCTTTTCCCAACACTTTTACTTTCACGTGACTATGCATGTTTGATTTGAGGTTCTCACAGCAGGGACAATAAACAGTGCTATCTTCTGGGATGTGGTGCAGTGCAGTCCAGTAGCAGTCCATTGACATTTCCGATGGACTGCCTGCATCTACAGGGTTGAAGAGTAAGCCAAGCAGGAAGTCAGGAAGAAGTAGGCAGTAACATTGACTGTTCCTTGCTTGGTTTACTCTTTGACCATAAAAGTTACTAATATTTTCCTAATTGCAGATACCAGATAACCTTGTCGCTCATGGCTGACTGCAGCGATGGCAGCTGTTCCAGGTAAGCTAAAAGAATTTGTCAATGATATTATATTTGTGGATGAGAACAGTGTATTGGAACTGTGGCTTTTGGAGGTTATACACAGCATTTGTTCACGGTGTTCCAATGCTTCAGAGCATGTTGCAGTTGTTGCCATCTTCAGGGTGAGTATGGAGTGGAAGGGGGAATGAACTAATATACAGGTGTAAGGAGGCAATTGGGGAGACTATTGACAGTGGGTCTTGATACAGTACTGTAGGTCAAAAGAAAGGTTAGTGCAGAAAGATGTGAGGCCAGGTTTTCTCTCTTATTATCCATTTTCATGATTGAAGTCGTGGGAATAATTTTATGCTTTCTGTGCTGTGTGGGGACAGAAAGATTGGATGCTAGCAAGAGCTGGAATTTTGTTATGGTCAGTGCTGTGTTTGGTGTAGATCATGTGGCCACTGCTGTTCACTAATTCTCTAATCTAATGTGTCTGAAGTGCTTGAAGATGGAACGGCAACTTTAGCCGATGCCACTGCCGTGCAAGAAAGGGATCTTGTAAGCATGGGTTTTTTGTGTCTAGAATTATTTTTCCATTGTTTTTCAGAGATTGGTTGCCATTTTGTTGGATGGTTTATAGGTGAGATTGATACCTTTTTACTTTCTCGTGTACATAGTATGAGGCGCTATTGTGATTGTGAGAAGAATTTATATCCAGTCTTTGACAGATATACCTTTTCAGCTCCTCTGATGACAAAACAGTGGTTTTTGGAATGCCATTTGTCTGTAATGTATATATGCCTTGTTAGTGCCTGAATGATTGGACGGATTTCAATAGTATTTGGCCTTAAGAGCTCATCCATTATTGGTTTGTGTTCACTTACTGTAAATAATCTACCTTCAAAATATAGGGGCCCTGCAGTCACAAGATTCTGTCAAAATTGGCTCTATCGAAGTAGATTAAATATAAGCAATATATATGGAGACCATCTCTCTGAATTAAAATGCATAGGAGGTATATTCAGCAAGATAATAGTAACACTATAGTAGCCCAAATACAAAATGTCAGTTTTCTTCTGGCTTCAGCTATGCCATGGTGAAACCACAGAAGGATACATTATATATAAGACACAGGCTGTGAGATGTAAGAAGAAGTATGTGTTGTTTTTTAATCTCATTGTTGTATTATGTTTTAGGAAAGAGAAAGCCACCCACACCACCAAAACCCCCATTATTAGGCCATTTGGCAGGACCAGCTTTAGTAATCCACGGTGATTCTTACAAAGGAAGGTTAGCTGCATGTCTTTTTATCCATTTTCTGTAAAGCACATAGTCATGAGTACTAAGGAATATTAGACTTGGATACAGTAGATACAAGGATCATTACTTACTTACTCTTGTGAGCTGAGCCATTCTGGAGGAGCCACCAATTCTGCAGCTACTCAAGAATTTCCCAGCATTTTATGGAACCAGAAGGTTCATTACCGTGTTCACAAGAGCCCTCCACAATTCCCTATCCTGAGCCAGATCAATTCAATCCATTCCATCCCATCCTATTTCCCTCGGATGTGTTTTAATGTTGTCCACCCACCTACTACTTGGTATTCCCAGTAGTCTCTTGTAACCGTCCTTCGGTTCTGCTAGCTCCGGTAGAGCAATTCGACTCCTCTCAGGGCGTGTTGACTGGCCACAACTTGGGTGATTAGTGGGGCTTTAGGCGTAGGGAAGTCACCTCAACACCAATTAACTGCATGGAGTCTTTATTAAATTTGCACTAATTAAATAGAGACAGCCCCGTAGTGANTCAATCCATTCCATCCCATCCTATTTCCCTCGGATGTGTTTTAATGTTGTCCACCCACCTACTACTTGGTATTCCCAGTAGTCTCTTGTAACCGTCCTTCGGTTCTGCTAGCTCCGGTAGAGCAATTCGACTCCTCTCAGGGCGTGTTGACTGGCCACAACTTGGGTGATTAGTGGGGCTTTAGGCGTAGGGAAGTCACCTCAACACCAATTAACTGCATGGAGTCTTTATTAAATTTGCACTAATTAAATAGAGACAGCCCCGTAGTGATACACTTCACAGATTCGTGGATGTAGGCTTACTTACTGTTCTGGGACGCACACTTAATAGTCACCACAGGGCGTGTTTGCGGGGATCAGAACACGTGTACCCCCGGTGAATGTAACTTTAAAAGTCCTCCTTGCCAAGCACCCTCTGAATGGTAAATATTTGCCCTGGTTACCCAAAATTCGGGCAAAGGACCTCCCACTTCAGATGATGATTGGCTGGACTGGGCAGACTGGGAGGTTGCTTATCATTCTCCTCCAATTAGGAAATCGAATATCCACTAGTGTACAGTTTAGGGGTGAACTTTGCCACCTGCTGCGTGGCTGTCAAACTGAGATTTTGGGGTAGTAGGAAACGACGCTGCTAAATTTATGACTTCCCCTGTCAAGTTTAGAATTTCTAAAGAACTCCGCCTTGTTTCACGCATTAAATTCACTGATTTACGAATGGGCAGCTGGCTTCAAGCTTGACCCAAGCCACTTGCTGCTTGTCTCAGGGGGAAAATTTCAAATTGTGAGGCGAAAGTGAGGAATTTCACAAAACCCTAACCATACACAAGCATCAGTTGACCATCCCATAAACTGGACAGTTACAACCTCCCAAGCAAAATAATGACTATAATGGCACAGCCTGAATATGTCAACATTTCGTCTTACTGCCGTTTCTCCTCCATTTCCACACACAAATGCTTAAGCCTAGAAAAAATACACACTAAATGTAAATAGACAATAGCTTAATTGACCGTATGGTCCACCGCTGGCAGCAATAGCAAGAGGCTTACCATGTACAACACATCTGAAAATTTAGGTGGCTTTCTTCCCCTTTCCTACAAACAGTACCCTTCAGTAAATCCTAAAATAACAAATGAAAATTCACACAGTCATTGAGACAATACTTAAATGGGCTGACAATACAAAGTCCCTTGTTGTCCCTTTCTTTGACTCCAATACATTTTCTCAGACTTCTGAAACTCACATCTTACAGCTAAAATTGTTTATTGGCTCACTTCTAGTTTGTACCCGTTCCAGTCCTGTTGTTGCTCATGTCGCTACCATTGTTCTGACCACTTTCTTGAAGTTTACTTCTGGTTCACTCGCACATTGCCACATTTATGGGCCTCACTGGACAATACCTCACTCCCTAAGTTGCTTTGTCACCTCGGATTTACAGCTTGTTTCACACTACCAGGTCTTACACTTTGCTGGCAACTCATCTCCTACAATTCGGTTCATACAGGCTAACATTTTCATTGTCCTAACATACCCATACAAGTATGTAATATTTTTCGGTGACACGCTGACCATAACAATGGTTGGTTCCTACCATTAGAATTTAGGCGAGCGTAAACTTAATTCTCTCTCCCTCGCCCATTCTCTTTCAGACCTATGAGTTCCAACTTTCTCCTGCCTTTCCTCATTCACTCCTTGCCAAAACCGATTGAAAGTTACACATTTACAAGCCCTCTCTGTTATCCTTTTTACAAGTATTTCCATACAAAGGCGCGCAGGCCTACATAGAAAGTTGGTATTCACACAGCCATCACCCCAGCGCAGCAATTACTGAGCAACTCTTCCCACACACAATTCCTCAAATTTCGGATAATTTAACTGCCTGACCTCTTGATACCAAAAAATTTAACTGGATTCATTCGTTCTTACTACAAATTTATCATCACTTCCCTCTTGACCAGTATGCCATTATACTAACACTAGTCCACACTGTCCAAGTAAGGCTTAAGGTGGCCCAAGTTAAACAAATCTGATCTCCTTCTGGCAGAATAGGCAATTAGCCGCATTCAATGTAAAGCCTGCTCTCGCCAATTTATTTAGAACAATTTCCAAGTGCCTGAGATGCTCCCCGAAACTTTTTTAGAAAATACCAAGACATCGTCCACGTAAAACACAACGAACTCATCAGTCTCACCACCAAAGGCCAATTTCAGGGCTCTGACAAAAGCGGATAGTGAATATCGGAACCCGTATGGCGTGCGCGCGTACTGGTGCACAGTAGAATCGAACAAAAATGTGGTGTACTTCCGGGAGTCTCTGTGCAGCGGAATTTGTAAATACACAGAGGTCAGATCTAGGGTGGTCATGAACTGCGCTCCTTCAAATTTTTGCAGTAACTCTTGTAAAGGTGGGGTGCGCTCTCTATCCGGGACGGTATGCTGGTTCACCTTCCTGGCGTCCACACAAATCCTAATTTTCTTATTTCCCTTATGAACCACAGACAAAGGGTTAAGGAAGGGCGAATTACTAAATTCTAAAATGCCATCCTGCAGCATTTGCTTAATCTGGTCTCGAACGGCGGGGCGGACAGCAAAGGGGATGGGGCGAGAATATCCTACTATGGGTTTAGCTTCGTCTACCTGAAATCTATACTCAAAAATGTTACACCTGCCAGGTCTGACGGTGAAACATTTCATATAACTACTCAATAAATCAATCAAACATTCTTTCTGGGACACATTCATATTGTCATTCGTGTCGATCAGAGCACACAAATCCGCCTTCTTCAGTGAGCGTGAGTCATGGATGTCGAGTTCTGACGTTTGGATAGGGGTGGGTTGGAGTAGGTTACTCTCTGTTCTTCTTACATTAACTTCCTTAAGGCCAGCCGTTTCTTCTTCGCATAGGCTCTCAACCAGGCTGCCATAAATCTCCCTCGGACACTCTTCTTCATGCACTTCTCCATCTACTAATAACTCTTGGTCGCCCGCGGCGCCATTTAACAGGGTCCTCTGCCCTACATAACTACCATTCACGGTAGCACAATTCAAAATACAACTTTCTTCCTCAACAAGCCATTCTTTTCCCTTTCTACCTGCTTCTGTCTGGGTGGCATCACAGCTGGCTTTAACAGCTGGGTGAAGTGGGTCATTGCCTACAGCTGGGGTTTTCAGGTCATGGGTGACACCAAAACATTTATGGGAAGGATCTCCCTTCGACTCCCGCTCATCATTTCTGGCGTCCAATGGCCCGGAACTTTGATCGAACGAATGTCCCTTCCTGCTTCCATCTCTCCCATAGTAAAAACATTTAGTAACAAAATCAATAGTGATCCCATATTCCTTAGCGAATGATGAGCCTAAAATAGNGGCCGAATTAATTAACTGTGGAGATATTAAGAAAATAGCCTCAAACCTATCCTCGCCTACAAAAAATTCTATGAACGCCTGCTTCTTAATCCCCTTTGTCCTCCTGCCAAATGCCGTGACTAGTGCTACATTTTCTAGCGGCAGCATGGGCACAGCTATCCCTGCCTCTATCAGCCGATCATAAAGCTTTTCGGTCAAGATGTTCGCGTCGCTTCCTGTGTCTAAAAGGGCGCTAGCTGAAATGCCGTTCCCGAACGAAATGTTCACTTGCGGGCAGCAAGCTAAGTCGTTCTCATTTATGAAGAACAGTATCAATCCCCCTATAGCCTCTGGTTCGATTCCCTCATCTAAAATTTACTGGTCCATTAACGTTTACTGAAGTCTCGCCCTGGACGCTTAGCCTGTGAGGTGGACCTGTCGGTTCGTTGTTTTTACTGGCGAGAGTCATTCGGTCCTCAACAACTCCCTGCTCTAGTTTCCCAAGTCCCCAGCGCGACGTTGTCCATCGGTGCCGGCGAAGGTGGGAGCGTGGGGGTTCAAGGAGTTCCCTGCCGCGGGGCGGCTGTTGACCGGCTCCGTATCCCTAGCGGATGATCCAAACCCTCCGCGCGTCGGGTGTCCACGCCGGTTGTCATAGCGGCAGTAATCGTTCCAGCTGTTGTACTGTACTCGCCTTGCGTAATATTGGTTGGGGCGTGATCTTTCATATCCCCCACGGCTAGGCGGATTCCCTCTGGGAGTCGGATCGGGTTGGTGGGTTACCGGGTTCGAACCTCGGTATGACCCGTCCCCTTCCATCATCTCTACCCTTTTCAACAGGTCCAAGGTCTCCCCTACCGTACTCAGATTGTAGCCTATCATTGCCCTCTGGACCATTACTGGAAAGTGATGTCTGACCGCCTCAATTACTTCTGTGTCAGAGGGCCTGGGTTCCAAATAAGAGGCCATGGTAGCGTACTTTAGGAAATGGCTGGACAGAGATAAACCAGACCTGGGATTGAACCTGTCTTGATACAAACTGCAACGGACTAGGCTTTGCTTTGACTTTGACCAATAGTTACCGGAAAATGCTACCTTAAATTGCTCATAGTCACTCAGGTTTCGGGCTACAGTGGCCACCCA